GGAGAGAAAATAAGATGGACAAGCTTGTGGGTTGAGATAACATCAGTTTAATAACAAAACCAAAAGCCATACACGGAAGCAAAGCAAAAATAAGAATTCATTCACTACTAGCCATCAGCAGGCAGATGTCTAGTCACTTCCTGCAAAGCAGGGCCTCAGTATGTGTAGTGGTTGTTTGAGAAGACAAGCACCATAACCATGAATGAATGTCTGTGTCAGCCCTGTCTGTCACACACCCACCTCACCCCTTCCCCCCCGCCTCAGCTTTTATTGCTGAGCATGTTGTCATATGGTATGGAATAGCCCTTTGGTCAGTTTGGGTCATCTGTCCTGGCTATGTCCCTTCCCAACTTCTTGCCCACACCCAGCCTATCGGCCTTTGGGAATGGGGCGTTGGAGAGACAGGCTTGATGCTGTACAAGCACTGTTCAGCAATAGCTAAAACATTGGTGTGTTAACTACACTGTGTTCTAGCCACAAATGCAAAGCACAGCACTATATGGGCTGTTATGAGGAAAGCTAGCTCCATCCCAGCCAGACCCAGTACAACCAAATACAAAGCAATAGTGGAAAAAAACAAGACGCTGACTGGCCTTACTGATTTTGCCTTAAAGGATACTGGGACAGGATGGAACATTGAAGACTGATTAGAAAATCCTTTCATTTGCATTATTAAGAAAAAAAGTAAACATTTCAGAAGTGCAAATAGAGATGTCAAACCTGTAGCGGAAAGAATCATTCTAGTAAAGTACTAGCACAGCTAGTATTATTCCCTATAGAAGTTGGGGGGGGGGGGGGGGGAAGTTTGCCCAACAACTTCCTATAGGAGTTGGGGGGGGGGGGGGGAAGCTTTGCCCATAACTTATCTTTTTATTGTGATGCATTTCAAACATAGTGCAACATAAAAATTCTTCCTTTGAGACTAAAGGCAAAAAATGTTAGGAAAAGACGAGTTACAGTTAACTGGACATGACTGGAATATAAAAATCTTATGTCCTTCATCTTATGATGTTGGGGAGGGGAAGGAGAGGAGGAAAAAAGGGTAATGCTGAAAGGTTTGGAGTTCCTTTCCGCATCTTTTTTTTCCCCTCTAGCTCCCCAAAAGGACTTCCGTTGTCTTTCAGTGTTCAGAGCAGAATAGTCTTTATCTTTTTAGATATATAAAAAGATTTTAAGATGGCCTCATCAGGGTAAAGGAAAATTAGAAGATGCTCAAAATAGCCTCTCTCTATTCAGAACTCTAAATTGAAATATTTAACTATTGTACTTAAGGCAAAATGAACTACAAAAGTACTCAGTTATAGCTAAAATAAACCACCGAGACACCAGCCAAGTAAACAATACACAATTATTTACAGAATACAATGTCCAAAACAATAATTGGATGGTACTGATGCTAATTTTATTTGGTGGCCTTAATTTGACCTTAAAAGGGCATGCTTTATTCTACACTTGAAAATGGCCTCTTAAGTCTAAAGGAAATGTGTACTCTTCTGGCATTTTCTAGCACAATTCTTTAGTTGATTCTTTAAACTTCTACAGAGCTACTGTTGGATGAATTAGAGATGATATTTTCTCCCAACTTTAATCTTACGTTTTTCTGAGATATGGAAACTTTGCAAATAAGTTATGCTTATTATGATGCACTAAAAATACAGTTCTACATGCTAATTCCTAATCTGATCAATTGTATCGTTATTGGAAAGAGAGAAAAATTTTACTCAACTTTGACCTTTGTCCTGCACAGACCACTTGCTACCTCATTCGAAGGCAGACATGGCAGTGTGCGCTATTGGGTGAAAGCTGAATTGCATAGGCCTTGGCTTCTACCAGTAAAATTAAAGAAGGAATTTACAGTCTTTGAACATATAGATATCAACACTCCTTCATTACTGGTAAGAACTGTCAGAATTACTCATTCTTTTTCTGGCATAAAAACAATGAAGTATAACAACTGAAACAACATCAACATGTAATGTTACCTAATATTTATTTGCTAGTTTAACTACAGCTCTTCTTTTAAGTATTATATCAGTTTAGCAACTCTTTAATCGCTGGTATTTTGAAGGCTAAGTTATCCTGTACTTGGAGTTGCTTGATTTTTACGATACATAAAATGCATTTGTCAATCTAAATTGATACTACTAAATTGTAGAATCTCATTAAGGAAGAAAATTTGGTGAACTGTTCAATTATAAATAAAAAATAATCTATGGAAGAAACAGTGCAACTCTTAATATTTTAGTGAGGGACTGCTAACTTAACAATGCAAAGTGAAAAATTTACAGCAGTGCATAATCGATAATTTCCATATGGATAGTTTTCTACTGATGGGGAGAAATTATCACAATTCTGTATAATCCTTTCCTGAAATTTCACTTTAATAATAATAAAAAAAACCAACCCACCTTTAATATCACAACTGCTTTCAATGAGGATTTGATTTCAGTCTGGCCTAAAAATTCCTCTATTTTATCCCTTCCTCAGATTTTAAGGGGGGGGGGGGGTGGCGGCAGCATGGGGAAAGGAATTTTAGAAGTCCATTGAAATAGGTTTCTTGTGTGTATGGGTGAAAATCCAGGCTTGCAGAGGGACCTTGCACAAATTCCACTAAAATCAAAGGTCTCTCATTTGACTTTAACGGGCTTTGGATCAAGCCCTAAATCCTGATGTTGTGTAAAATAACTCTTTTTAATATAGGTGCAACGGGATCGTTCAGAAACTGAGGAAATAGCAGGATCTGTGTCTGTATAATGCTGTTTAAATTGCTTGAGACTTTTCCTGTGGAAGTAGCTTTGTTTATCAAAATATGTAATAATAAGCACATTATGAAATTATTATTTTCCTGTGTTGATTTAAGTACCTGAGGAGATTCATGGAGCTTCTAATCTAATGGACAATATTTTTCTCTTCTTGCAGTCACCCCAAGCAGGCACAAAAGAAAAGACTTTGTGTTGTTGGCTTTGTACCTCAGGCCCAATATCCTTAAGTGCCAAAATTGAAAGGAAGGGCTACACCCCAGGTATGTAGTAGAAATAATTATAGGATATGTTTTTCCTTTTAAAGCTAGAGTTTGTACTTACTATTTTTCTATAAAGGAAACATTAAGGGTATTTTTTACTACCTCAGTCTGCATTTAGCAGTGTTCTCTGTATATTCTGTTAACTAAGATAGCACTACTTGTATCTCTAGATTTTTAAAGGACCTCATCTATCAGACTGGTATGTTTTGGGGTTTTTTTTTTTTGTGGGCTGCTTTTTTTTTTTTTTTTTTTTTTGAAGAACAGCTCATGGGGATCTTGCTTCTATTAGCATCAGTGGATGTTTTTCCAGGTAAGAGCAGTGATAGCAGCATCTGGTGCATTATAACGGTATACAGAATGTGACAGTTTGCTTAAGCTGCCTTGTAAATGTAGAGAGAACTTGAATTTCTGGGTGGTTGTGTTTTTTGTTTCAGGTGAATCAATTCAGATCTTTGCTGAGATTGAGAATTGCTCTTCTCGTATGGTGGTGCCAAAGGCAACCATTTATCAAACACAGGCATTCTATGCCAAAGGGAAAATGAAGGAAGTCAAACAGCTTGTTGCCAACCTCCGTGGGGAATCCTTGTCATCTGGCAAAACAGAAACCTGGAATGGCAAACAGTTGAAAATTCCACCTGTTTCCCCTTCAATCCTTGACTGTAGTATAATCCGTGTGGAGTATTCACTGATGGTATGTTGGGCAGTCTGTTTCACTCTCAAGAATGAGTTAGCTTCCAACTTTCCATACAAATTCCTAGCACAGCATTTTGTGATAATTAGTTATGAAAGAAATACATGTTCTGGTATTAGTGTCCTGACAGGAGATCTGGTAAGTAAATTCAGTTTTAAATCATGCAAGTGTGACACACAACATCATCAGTTGTGTGTCGACTAAGCAAGCATTTAAGTAAACTGCATTTCCATGTGAGGGCTCATGTTAAGACTCTTAACTTGAAGAGCTCATGTCTCAATAGAGGCATGGGCCCTAAAAGACATTATTAGAAACAAGCTCGTCATGGAAACTTCTATAGAAAGGCAACTTTAGCCTAATACTTATGAACTGCTGATAAAACCCCACATTTTAATCATACACTTGTTTCATCTTTCTTCAGGTATATGTTGATATTCCAGGAGCCATGGATTTATTCCTTAACTTACCACTGGTCATTGGTACCATTCCTCTACATCCATTTGGTAGCAGAACATCAAGTGTGAGCAGCCAGGGTAGCATGAACATGAATTGGCTTGGTCTGATGCTGCATGAAAGACCAGAAGGTAACTTGACAATACAAATCCCAATAACTTTTGCTAGTCTGTTTTGATTTTTGTCTGCTTTATTCATTGCAGTCTTGCCAACAGAGTTAAATTACATCCTTTCATAGTAAAACCTGCAGTAAATCTGTTGTGGATGTTTTCTTGCCACTTGCTTGTCCTATGTAGAACAACAGAGTTTCTTCCCTCCCTGCCTTTCTCTCTGTAGGACAGGCAGTGAAATCCAGCTGCCTTGGAAGGTGGCAGAAATGAAAGCACAGGATGCCACTGTATCTCTGCACAACTACATTACTTCCACCTCCAGTATCACAATTGCATCCTTGGTTATAAGGCATTGCAACTGTCCTGGTTCCAGGTGGTGCTTAGTTGCTGACTGGGGCTAAACCATGACAGCAACCCATAATAGCAGTTTCTGGGGTCCTCTCACCAGACTTAGTAGCCAAGGCTTTGTGAAAAGATAATATTCTTCTCTATGGAAAATCTCTTACGGCCAAAGAAAGAATTATGTATTTCCTTCTTTCTGTTGTTGAAGTACAAATCCCAGACCTGGAGACTTTTGGAGTCCAGAGGACTGCAATGTTCTGTCATTCCTACCTGTATAGAAATAAATTATCTTTGACGTGCTTCAGACCGGTTATCGTCAGGGTATTCAGCCCCCTGAGCTGGAAGACAGGGATGGAGAGCACAATAAACTCCCTATAACCCAGCAGGAAACAGTGAAGGACCTGCTATGCCACCAGGACATGCACAAGTCTATGGGGCCAGATGGGATCCACCCGAGAGTACTGAGAGAGCTGGCAGAGGAGCCTGCCAAGCCACTCTCCATCATTTATCAGCAGTCCCGGTTAACAGGGGAGGTCCCAGCTGACTGGAGCATTGCACATAC